ATTTCAAATATTATGTTTTGATTGCTTTCATAATTTTTATGTATGATTATAAATTATAATGCCGTGTCCGTGCCGTACCCGTATCCTGTATTTTTAAGAATTGACGTGTCCCGTATCCGTATCGTGTCGTATCCGTATCGGTGCAACATAGATTACACATAACTAAATTTTATTTTTAAATATATAATTTATCACTAATTATTTTAATGTTTAATTAGACTTCTCAATTCAACTATTATTATATTTAATTTAAATAGAATTCTTAATTCTAAATTTGTCATTTAAATTACCATTTTAATATTGTTGCGTGCTAGAAAATTTGAGTCAGTAGAATGTGTTTCACATTTTAGCAGTATACAAGGATTTAGCAAGAACAAATAAAAGTAATAGGACTAAAATTTTATGTGGAAAATCCGAAAAAGAAAAAAAATTATGGGGCCTAGCCCAACTGCAAAAACCACTAGATAGTTAGTGATACAATGGTCTTCATTCTTTATTGTTGGAGAAGAAGGAAAGTACATAAATTAAGTATGACATTTTTTTTTATAAATTAATTATGGCAATTAATGTCCAACTACTGGTTTGATTTTCCCAATAAGGATTATAAATGTCAACAGATGGACTTTTATACCCAACAATAGAGTTAAATCTTGTTAATACTCTGAAGATGGTAGATATTTCTGATGCTGATCCTCAGTGATGATGGTGGTTGTCTGTGGCACTAGTTAGTGGTTGTCGCCGCTTGCGATAGCTGAAAAGTGTTAGAGTTCTCCCTTTGTTTCTTCTTTCCTCTCTCCCTTATGTGAAGAACGAGAAATTATTTATTGATTTTTCGGTGTGGTATGTTTTGTAAATCTATAGAAAATTTAGGGTAAATCAAGAGTGCTCCATCAGTCGGTCCATATAGACTCCTTCGATCATAGAGTTTTCATTAAGTATTTAGTGCCTTAATGATGTTAGAATTAAGTGATCCTAGGAACGTTGGATTCATCTCGTCGAGCTGCTCGATTCGACTATAAGCATGCCATATTTGGAAATGATTTTGTTACCCAATAAATGCTTTGAAGCTTCCAAATATGCTTCGGTCATTTGGTTGGAGCCTATTTGGATTTGGATTGAACTAAATTTGGTGTCATTGGATTTATTCTGTCGAGACGTTTGGTTTGACCATAAGTTTGCTAAGATCAAAGTTCAGATGGTCTCAAATTTAATATTGAAAGTTTTCAATTCAAATATGCTTTGAGATTCATGCATGATCAATGTGATTTTTGGTGATGTATCATTTGCCCCACTATCTTTGTACGTCGAAGTTCGCGGAGTCCGAAAATATGTGACTGATCTTTCCAAAATGTTATGAAATAAAATTATAGTTTTTGGATAATTATGAGGCATGACCGATCCTTTGATGTTAATATGGACCTCCCCTCAGGTTTGTGAACCAAGTAAAACATCCTTGCCTATAATTTAAGCTTCCAAAGAAGTTGATGCGTCGATCTGATAAAATAATGATGAAGAATTCCACTTTAAAATATTTTAATTTGTTTAAAAAGGACTGTAGAGGTTCTGTTGGGGTATGAAAGTGCTAAAATTGAGTTTAGAATGTTGAAAAACTATTTCGGGGTCAAAATAATGTTGAAATAGGCTCATTTGGGCTTGAAATTAGGCAAAAACTAAATTAGGCTCATTGGACCGGCCGACTAGTTTGCCATTCGCCACCGGGGCCACTAGCATGTCTTGGTACTTGCCTACGATGCCTCAATATTCCGCTCTGTCCTATTTTACTGTGCTACCCAGGCCGCCCGCCTTTGTTGCCCATGCACCCGTGTGGCTTTGGCACATGAAACTAGTGTCGATTGGCGCCTTAATGGGGGCGTCGTTTGGTGCCCCCTCCATTCTTAATTTAATTTAATTTTTTTGAAGGATTTTGATTTTGATTTTGATTTTTTAAAAGTAAAAAAAAGATTTTAGCTTTTAATGATTTATATAATAAATTAAATACTAAGAAGGATGAAAGATATATGTATAAGTTAGCAAAACAAAGAAAATTTGAGTAGTAAGGATTTAATGCAAGTGAAGTGCATTAAGGACGAAAATTAAAAAAAATATATTTAAAGAAGATATTCAAGAAAGGTGGATGAGATATTTTGCTAAACTTTTTAATGGAGATTATGAGAATACGATTGAATTTAGTGACCTTAATATCCTAAATGAAAATAAATATTTTTGTTTTTATCGGCATATTAGGAAAACCGAAGTGTGGAGAGGCTTTAAAGGAAATAAAGTGTGGAAAAACTGTTGGACATGATTATATTCCAATAAAGGTGTGAAAATGCTTAAGATATGAAAGAATTTCTTGGCTTACTAAACTTTTTAATAGTATTTTGTAGACTAAAAAGATGTCAGATGAGTGGAGAATGAATGTATTGATTCCTATTTTTAAGAATAAAGGTGATACACAAGATTGTGCGAATTATAGAGAAATTAAGTTAATATGTCATACTTTAAAACTTTTGATAGAGTTATGGAGTATAGGTTATGACGTGATACTAATGTTTCTCAAAATCAATCTGGATTCATGCCTGGTAGGTCTACTATGGAGCTATACATTTATTGAAAGGTTTGATTGAAAAGCATAGAGAGAATAAGGAGAATCTTCATATGATATTTATTGATTTAGAAAAACATATGATAAAGTTCCAAGAGAAGTGCTATGGAAAGTTCTAGAAAAGAAAGGAGTTAATAATGCTTATATTCAATTCATTAGGGATATGTATGCATGTGTTGTTACTTTTGTTCAAACACAAGGTGGTTTGACCAAGTATTTTTTTATTTCTGTTGGATTACATCAAGGATCGGTCTTAAGCCATATCTTTTTTGCTTTAGGCATGGATGTTCTCACTAGACATTTGCAAGAGGTTGTACCCTGGTGTATGCTTTTTGTTGATAATATTCTTCTTGTTGATAAGACTAGAGAGAGAGTTGAAGGTAAACTATGGAGGTCAACTTTAGAGTGTAAAGGTTTTAATTTGAGTGGGTCTAAAATCAAATACATGGAGTATAATTTTAGTAGAATAGATCTGGTGGGTGATTTGTGATTTTGGGCGATCAGTAATTAATTAGAGTACAAGTTTTAGATATATTGGGTCTATTGTTCAGATTGATGATAAAATAGATCGGGATATTATTAACAAAATTCAAGTTGGATGGTTGAAGTGGAGGAATGCATCAAGCTTGTTGTGTGACAGAAAAGTTCCTCTCAAACTTAAGAGAAAATTCTATAAGATGGTGGTGAGATCTGTAATGCTTTATGGTGCAGAATGTTGGCCATTAAAAGAGAAGCATAATATTAAGTTAAGTGTTGCAGAAATGAGGATGCTCAGGTGGATGAGTGACTTTACTCTTAGAGACAGGATACGAAATGAGCATATACATTGAGGTTGGAGTAGCTCTAGTGGAAGATAAGATTAGAGAGAGTTGTCTTAGATAGTTTGATCACATAAAATGGTGTCCTTCCGATGATTCAATTAGGAAAGTAGATGTATTAGATTTGGCTTATGTTAAGAAAGGTAGAGATAGACCTAAAAAGACTTGGTTAGAAATTAATAGAAATGACCTTTCTTTTTTAGATTTAAATGAGAATTTGACTCTTAACAAGACACAATGCAGAAAAAGGATTTATGTAACCGACCCCACGTAGTGAGTAAAGGCTTGATGTTGTTGTTGATGGTTTTTTTTTTCTTTTAATGCCAGGTGACTCTTCTTCATAAATTCATATAACTCTCTTCCATAAATTCATGTAACTTTCTTCCTTAATGCTTCGTAACTCTCATTTAAAGTTATGAAATCTTCTCCTCCTATAAGTATAAATACCCTTTCATGGGAGAGAGAATTTGCACCACCTCTCTTTAATTTTCTCTTATCCTTCTTCTCCTTCTATTCTCTACTTCTTCTTATATTAAAGATATTCCACTATCTTAGATAGGAGATATCTCCTATCAAGCTCTAACGACCCTCTTCCTTTTCTTTCATAGTTCTTTTTATATTAGAGACATTCCACTGTCTTGGATTGGTGGTATCCCTTATCAAGCTACAGTGTCCCTCTTTATATAAAAAAGTAGCCATTATATTTCTTCTCCTTTTTTTTATACTTATGTTAGAGGCATTACACTATTTTGGATAGGTGTTACCCCCTATTAGGCTCAAGTGCATGACTTTGTGTAGAGCGTGTTAATTCATATTTTTAA